GAATTCTTGTAAAATGTTGGTAGGAGTATAAAATGTTACAGTTTTTTTAAACAATTTGGCAGTTTCTAACATCAAATAAGTATGGCAAGTGAAATAAACAAGATGAAAAATGCAATTACATATTGCACTTACATCAAAGTCTAGAAAATGCAAACTGATCTCTAGTGAGAAATAGATAAATGGCTGCCTAGATACTGGAGTAAATGGCGGTATGTATTACAAATGCACATAAGGATTTGTAAGGAATTGTGGGGAGTGATGAGTTGATCGTGGTAATGATTTCTTGGACATACCCCCAAGGCAAGACTCATCAGATAGTACATGTTAATTAACTAAAGTTAATTGTATGACATTTTTATAATGAAGTTTAAAACAAGGACAATAGTCTCTATTTCACTATAGCTAAATAGCAATTTTAAATGGACTTTAAATCTAAATATTAGAGAAAAACAATATTTATGGTGATGATATTCATAAACACATAATAGGCAAAGATTTTTTAAACTGGCATGGAAAGCACTACCTCTTATTTAAATGCTTAATAAGTTTTATTACATTAGAATGAAAATATCTAGTTTTCAAAATTACATCAAGAGAATCCTGCAAAGAAGCAGGAAATATTTTTAATATTTATAAATAGAATGGGAGTAAATATATAAAGATCTCAGAAATGCTAATAAAAATAATACAGGTGATAAAGTAGAAAATGTAAAAAGGCTTTTAATTTGTGGAAAGTAATATCCAAATGTGCCCTGAATATAAACAAAGTTTACTCAATTTGGTTGTCAAGAAAATGTCAACTAATATCACAAAGAGTTAATTTTATATATAAACTATGTGGCTAAATTACAAAGAGCTGTGTCAAATATTAGTAAAGATGTCCAGCAATGTAGATTCTTATATTCTGCTAGTGGGTTTAATTGATGCAAGGATTAGCAATTTTACTTTTAAGTATACAAATCACCATTCTAAGTGTACCAAGATACATATACAAAATTGTTTATAAAGATATTATTCATAATTGACCCTTCTCAGTACTCACAGGATGAGGAAAGATATTATAGTATATTTCTACCATGAAACATCATGCTGGAAGAAAATGAGCATAATAAATGTACAAATAATATCCTGGGTAAAAGTCATAAGAAGACACAAAAAATATGCATTATATCATTTAATTTGTGTAAAATTCAAAAACAAGCAAAACTAAACTGGGTTTTCTTTTTTTTTCTTTTTTTCTTTTATTTTAGTTGTTGTTGCAGTACAATTTTCTATCTTTTACTCCCATCCCAACCCACCCACCCAGCTCTCCTCTCCTCCTTCCCATTTCCACCCACCCCTAGTTTTTATCCATGTGTCCTTTATACTCGTTCCTGTAAACCCTTCCCCTTTTCCCCTGAAATTCCCCTGAAATTCCCTCTCCTCTCCCCTCTGAACTCTGTCAGTCTGTTCTTTATTTCAGTGTCTTTGGTTATATTTTGCTTGTTTCTTTGTTTTGTTGTTTTAAAAGAATATAAAAAACAAGGAAAGATTTATATTAGATGATAGTACAGAGATTAACTTTGGCAAGAGTGAAAGATTGTGACCACAGTGAGACACAACCTTGGCTTCCAGGGAATGCACTATAATTTATTTCTTCACCTCGAAGGCAGTTTCGTAGTTGTTTCCTTTATATTAACATTTCTGGGAGTTATGTTTCAAAGAAAAGAAACTATGCTACACTACTGACTCTTTTGCTTATTTGCTTCTAATCAACTAAATCAAACTTTAAATTCTAACTACCTTCTTGTATTTTTTTAAAATCGAAGTATAACTGACAGAACAAACATTCTGTTAATTTCAGGTATACAACATGATGATTTGACATTTGTATACACTGCTGAATGGCCATCACAATAAGTCTATTTACCTTCTACCCCCATAAAAAGTCTCAAAAATTTTTTCTAGTGATTAGAAATTTGAAGACTTACTTTCTTAGCAACTATCAAATTTACAGTACAATATTGTTGACTCTGCTCACTATGATATACATTATATCCCCATGTCTTATTTATTTTATAACTGAAAGTTATAGCTTTCAATTCCCTTCACCCATTTTGCCCATGCATCCCCCCTTTTCTCAGGCAACCGCTCTATTTTAAGGATATTGGTTTTATTTTGTTCATTCATTTGCTTTGTCTTTTAGTAGCTTCCACATATAAATGAAATCATATGGTCTTTGTCTTTTAATTTTTTTGTTTTTTTATTGTCAGTTACAGTTTTCCCACCTTTTCCCCTTACTCTCCTCTGCTCCTCCCCACCCCACAGTCAATCCCTACTCCACTGTGGGTGTCCATGAGTCCTCTCTTCATGTTCCTTCACTTGCCCCTTCCCCCTTCTTCACCCCCGCTTTATCCCCCTTCTCCCTCCCCTCTAATCACTGTCAGTGTGTTCTTTATTTCCATGTCTAGTTCTATTTTGTTCATTTGTCTGTTTTGTTGATTAGGTCCCACTTACAGGTGAGATTATATGGTATTTGTCTTTATGTTATTTATTTCACTTAGCATTGTACCCTCAAGGTCCATTACTACAAATGAAAATATTTCATCCTTTATTATGACTTAGTAGTATTCCATTGTGTGTGTGTGTATGTATATATACATATATATATGAGATCATCTTTATTCATCTATCAATGAAAACTTAGGGGTACATATCATTTTGAATTAGTGTTTTCATTTCCTCCAGATGTGTTTACATTCCCCAGAAGTGGAAGTGAAGTGCTTCCTCTTAGCAATTACCCTATGTCTCATCCTCTGTTTCAGATACAAAAAAAATAGTTGCTCAATTATTATACCTTTGATATCAATGTCAAGGTGTCTTTAATTAACAGGAGGCTTAAATAACCAGACTACTAACCCATAATAATCTTAGACCCTAGATTCCTCTTATAAAAATATTTTTTTTCATTTTCTAGTGCACATTTTAATGTCTTTTTTATTTGTCTTTCCTCTTATGCCAGAAGATAAATGAAACCATGTACTCTGAAGCATATAAAATGTGTTTCTTTTTTTATTTCTTAATTTAAAAGTATAGATTTAAAAGGTAGATTTTTAAAGTATAGGTGTTTTTCTTATTTTATTTATGTATTTTGGTATATTTTGTATTTTATACTGTGAAATATTGTTCTTCCTTTCATACAATATTAATTTGTTTTTATCATACTTTGTTTGTTTTGGTCTCATTTAGGAATATCACATACTTATAATTTCCATTCTTTATCATTTACACATAATAACCTCTCAGAAAGAATTCATATATTTGACATTTTTTCTTTTGATGGAATGATGTCCTCATCAATTATTCAGTATGCACTATAGATGCCACAACATGAGCATGAAATATCTGAAATATTTCATGCTCTAATACATAATTAAAATAAATTAAGTGCTTATTGTCTCATTATATACCTTTTCCGTCATACCCATTAATAAAATTACTTTGTTCTTTCTGATAAATTTTACTTCACATACTGCATGTTTATATAGTTTTTGTGAAAAACCAAGAGCATATGATTCAAATTTATTTCTGCTTCATTCAACAAGAACTTTTACCCAAAATTATTCTCTACCTCTGTATGTTGAATGGTAGTGTCCCTTCCTTTTTCTCCACTGGGATATTTTCTTGGATTAGTTCTTCCTCATCAGGGACTCTGTCTAAAATTAGAAAACCAAGTGTCTTTCTCTGTCTCCCTGGTTATTTTAAAAAATGATCTTATTGGTTCTCAGTTTTAAAGGTTTAACCAAAAAAAAATTTAAACCTGATCTCTTGATGCAACATGTAGAAAGAAGATGGAGGTATATGGGCAGAAGAAAGATCTGAAATTCCTGTTTTAGGAATCAGTTCCTCATATTCCAGCTTTGTGTTTGGCTTATACTCTATTTCAAAATTACATAATGATTTATTCAAGTCACCATCTTTGTTTACCTTTCTAATATTTAAATAAACTTTCTAGTATGTGTAATTTCTGTATGACAATATTAAATTTGACCTTAAAACCTCCAGATTCCTTGCTTTTGAATACCATTAACCAATACTATGAAGGTGTTGACATTGTTTATTATTTAATGTAATTTTATAGACTTCTAAGAAGTCTCGGGCATTGTTTTACATGTTATCGATAAAAATGTAAATAAGACAAGGTTTCATACTTAAGATAATTGCAGTAGGCAATTACTGAATGCAATGGGATTAATTTTTATATTTATTTCATTCTGAAATTTCAACCTCCAAATTTGGATAAACTTCATTGGGTAATGTCATTAAAAAACATACCATTTTAAGGATATTTTTCTATTTAAGCACTGATCACATTTTTGTTTTTCAAAACAAAAAGTATTTTAAATACCCTAATTTTATTAGTATTTTTACTACATTATTTCCTATATAAATTCACCACTACTTGTTGCCTATGTGATTCATCATATATGTTTTGTGTTGCTGATATCAGTATTGCATTGTTTTTATATTTATCAGTTTTTAAGAGAAAATAGGTAAAATAGATAAGTTATTCAAAATATGTCACATTATAGATTCACAAGCAGATGTTAGAAAATGAGATATGTCCACAATTACAGCTATGGGTTGGGTTAGCAGCTTGAAAATATTGATGTGTGAAATGGTCCTTGAAAAATTACCTCGTATTGTCTTGCTTTCTGCAATTTTGTTTTAATGCAGAGCTAAAGGTTGACAGAGAGGAACTTCTAACTTCAAACAGACTGGCCAAATACAGAAGAATAATTATAAATAGAAACAATTTGAAAACTCAACATAAGAGTTTTCATCATATATGAGTGCCAGACAAAGTTAAGTATTTTATGATTTCTTAAGTATTTCCATTAATGATGAGCATCTAAAATTTAAAGATTATTTTTGGGTGTAGATATTTGTAAAAGATACAACTTTTCACCATATCCATGTTGCTACTTTGAACCAACCTAAAATCCCTATACAAAGAGGCACTACTGATGAAAATGTTTTTTGAAGAGAATTATTTTCAGGACATGGTCACGGATTTGTTTGGTCTTCACTCCATAGACAATAGGATTAAGAAAAGGTGGGACTAAAAGGTAAAGATTTGATAGAAGAATATGAACATATGGTGGTATATGAGAGCCAAACCTATGTGTGAAGAAAGAAAAGAAGGCAAGGACATAGAACTGGAGGAAGACACATATGTGGGTAACGCATGTATTAAAAGCTTTGAATCGTGCTTCTTTCTGGGGTAGTTGAAAGACAGTGATAAAGATTTGAACATAGGACAAAGTGATAAAAATTATGTCAAACCCTAAGATGGAGAAAGCAACAAATAGACCATATATTTTGTTGATTCGGATATCTTCAGAAGCCAGTTTCACAATGGCCAAGTGCTCACAGTAAGAGTGGGAGATGACTGTAGTGTGGAAGAGTTTAAGACGACATTTGATAAGCACTATGCTTGGTGCTATAAGAATGACAGCCCTGAGCATCACCCCAACTCCAATATGAGTCAAGAGTTGTTGGGAGAAGACAATGGCATGTCTCAAAGGGTGGCAGATGGCCACATAGCGATCGAGGGCCATTGCCAATAAGACACCTGATTCAATTCCTTGGAATGAGTGAATTAGCCACATTTGTAAAAGGCAAGCTTCAAAAGATATCTTTGAGAAATGAAACCAGAAGATGCCTAACATTTTGGGAAGAATACAGGTGCTGAGTGCAAGGTCTGTGGCCCCCAACATGGCCAAAAAAATGTACATGGGTTTATGGAGGCTGGTTTCATATTTGATTATAAGTAAAATTAGGGAATTCCCAATCACAGCAATGAGGTACATGATACAGAATGGAATCCCAATCCAACACTGCACTGATTCCAGGCCAGGAATCCCGATGAGTGTCAGTACAGAGGGCATGAAGACTGAGCCGTTGAATGTGAGCATGCTGATCCAATCATTAGAATCAAATGTCAGTGTGGTTGTTTTATTTTCTGTTTCTTGTGAAGACTTCATGAATTAAAAATAAGAATAAATTAATTTATTTGGCAAAATATACTTCAATTATTTTAGAAATATACCGTCTTATCTTTTCTATCCAAATACTCTCTAATTTTCTTTTCTCTCAATCTTTAACAGCTCACTATCAGGTTCTGTGTTTCTTTGTGCTTTAATTATTTCCAATAAGCAAAACTAAATAGATTCGATGGCTTCATTTTGGTCCATGACTGCTGGACCAAACCAATTCCCTTTAATTTTTGTTTGCTGAACGTATGTGCTTTTTGTGACCTGCCAATAGGAATTGTGGAAAAATAGTTAACCCAGAGTAAAAATATTTCAAAAACTAGATTCCACCTAGGTTAGACATACAAGTTACTAAGGGTTTACATTGGTGGTAAATTGTTCTACTTGATTAAACTCATGAACTTTGTTTACCAGAATATTTTTCAATTTTGTAGCTCACTAACTTGTTTTCTCAGGTAACTATCTTCAGAGTGAGTTCCCTCTCCAATAAATTCTACCAAAATACTTTTGACCTAATTTTTCAAACTTGCTGTGTTTTCCCAAACTTCAATCATATGTTTTGCATCTTTTTCTACTTATTCTCTGGGAAAATAAATCCTTTTTTATTATACAGCTTTTTCTGTAGCAGTTCATTATAGAGCTTGTTCTCAATGTGTTCTATTATTTGTGCATCCTTTATATTTAATTTCAAGTGCCAATCTATACCTTCTGTTCTTCTCTCTCCTCATCAATAACCATTATTACATCCCTAAGCTTGAATAGTTTTTTCTCAACTATTTGTGATAACACAAAATCTTTATGAATGTAATGTTTTCTTTATTTAGATACTTATGCATCTTGTATCCACTGAAACTACAATTTCTGTAGAGGTGATTTTTTTTATTATAAGTTGTTTTTCATAGGACTAGGCCCACCATCTTTATGTGTCTGCCTTTTGCTGGTTACTGTAGTATATAACACTATATCTTGTATGTCTCCAGGGCCTCCTATGAGAGGCTTTCTTTAAGAGTTCCTGAAGTCCTAGAGGCTTTTTCTAACTGCTGATTTTCTATAAACTGTATTTAATTTTCTTTGGGAAAATATTTTCACCCCAGTATATAAAAATATTAATATAGAAATTATAATTATTTTATTTTATTCTTTGCAAAGCTCACTTTATGAAACCATTTAAAGAAATTATAAAACAGACAAAGATAGTAAAGAAGACATAAAGCAACAAATTGGGAACAAGAAAAATCATATAATCACGTCTTCTCCATCTCTTTCAAGTTTTTTCTTCTGATGAATTCAGATTATGTCTGTGTTTGGCACATGAAAGAATACCCACAACCCACCTCAGGCCAATTGCAAGAGAATTTATTGTTTCTCCTCCTAAAACTTAGTCATCTCTGTGCAAGGCTTTCTTTTTTGAGATTCCTTATTCAAGAACTCTTCCTTCAAGTAAACACACAATAGGTCAGCCTATATCTTTCCCACATGAGAAGATAATATTACTACACACAAGTTAAAAGTTTATTTCCTAATGATTTTTAAAATACACATAAATTATTCACCAGCTTCCAAGAAGCAATTGGGGAACAAAGGTAAGTTTATTTATTTTATAGTTATAAGGTATCTACATTGTGCTGAATGATTTTATTTTTCTTACCTTATGATATTGACATCATTACCCTATTATATTAATAAAAAACTAAGACTTGTTGTTATAGGTAAATCTACTTGGATACAAATTCTATGGTACATTAGTCCAGAAAAAAAACAAATAAGAAAAGAACTCTATCCTCTGAGATTTTAGAATTGTAATTCAGTAAGGATTATGAAATATATATCAGTGTGCAAGTAAATCAGGCTGGGTTATAAAAATATATACTACTAAAGATTTTAATCAATCTGTGCTTTTTCAGAGTCTGAAGGGAACAACCTCTGCATCACCTTCTTAATTTATCAAATAAGTATAAATAAATACATTATACTGTGTTTATTAAATGCTACATGCCTGATTAATGACCACATTTGCCTAATCATATCATCTATACACCAACAAACAAACAATCTCTGTGATTTGGTTCAAAAATATATGCTACTGCTTTTATGAAGAATATTAATTTTAGAAATTAAACATGGGCACATGAGTAATATTAGACCTAGAGAATCCTTGGAGAATAACGAGGAAGCTAAAGCTTTACAGAAATATATATAGTGAGTGATCAGGGAATATTGAGCAAAGTGAGAGTAAGAAAAATTGCAGGAAGATGAAATACAAAGGCATGTATTCAGTCTAAAAGACCAAACATCCTATGAACAAAGTAGTTATTTCCCTCCCTTGATATATTAACATTTCCATCTTCATGAGGCCTCATTGATATTCTTCTAAGGTAGTTTCTTAATCTCAGCATGATAGATCAGATAACTATCTTGATGTGGGGGTTATCCTCTATATTCTAGGAGGCTTAACAAAATTCCTATTTATTACACATTAGGTGCCAGGTAGCATTTTGCCTTTTGAAAATCCAGTCTGCAAGCACCTTGGTGAATGGGTTGAAAGGTATGAAACTAAGCATGAGGAGATCAAGTTACAAAGATATTGGTGATAATTCAGATGAGATGTTTTGAAGTGATGTGGCAAAATCAGAAGGATATCAAGGAAGCAGTATCTATGAGACTCACTGACTTGATGTAGGAAAACTGAGAAAGATGAAGCTAAAAAATGTTATATTCTCAGGATGGGAGTAACAGCACTGGGTGCTGAAGGACATGGTGAAAGCAATTCTCTGTATACAGATATCTATATATCTCTATCATCTATCTATCTATCTATCTATCTATCTATCTATCCATCTACATCTATGTATCTATGTATCTATCTAAAATCTATTTATCTATCTATCGTCTATCTATATCTATGTATCTATTGTCTAACATCTATCTATCTATATGTATGTATTATCTATCTATCTATCCTCTCTTTAGAAGAGGGAGGAAACCTATCTTAAACCCTTGAAATTCATAAACCTGGAAAACAATCATGGATCTAATAAATCCAGAACCATTAGTACAACTTACAACTTTAATTCTGACTCAGGATGAGTCCCAGAATCTAAAAGATTTAAGAAATTTAGGGCATAAGCCCACTCTCCCTAAAATCTTAGGAGATCTCATCTCTCTATAAAATCTCTGACACCCTTCAATCTGTTCTGGAAGCCTCCAGTGACAGAGAACTCTGTTTTCTGAGAGTTTGCCACATTGCAGAACAGCCCCCTGTCTGATAGGTCTTCTTTCTATTGAGCCTCTAATAACCTCTTTCTTAATTTCTCTGTAAGTTCCTGAATGCACATTCCATGTTCCAGTGATAGACATCAGTCATAGGTCATAGCCATTAATGCATAGGTCTTAGTGAGTCACAGGATTTTAAATTCTGGATGCCCCTCTTTAGCTTTGCATGGTCTTCAGTCAGTCTATGTGTCTCAATTATCCTCAGTGCTAAAATAGAGTTAATGGATAGAAATATAACACTGGGTGGCTGAGAGGATTAAATACATAATTTCTCTAAAATATTTAGAAAGATACTTAGAATGTATTGAAATAACAATTAATGCAGATACTAGTCCACAGACATTTATCTTCTCTTTTTCATAAATTATCTCACATATTTGATGAGCATTCCACCTGAATGACTTGAAGAGCGTTATTTCCCCCGAATGTTTTCCAGCCTAAACAGTTAAAATTTTCTGACCTTTTAACAAATAAGCTTTTTATTCATTTATCAGCCCAGATATTATTATCTGGAAGTCATCTTATTTGTCAATGCACTTGAACATGTTTCACCTAGTGTGTCATTAACTGACTTAGAAATATTCTGAAGAGCATGGAACAAATCTTTCTGGTGCTTAATCATTCAACCACCATGAGATTCTATTGCTTTTTTTTTAACATCCCGGCATCATATTGTATCAGATAGGACATGTTCTCTTTGAAACCAGTCCTCCAGTTTCCCAAATCTGGTGTAGAATCGCAACCCCAAAGACTTACCATGGGTTATCTGTGATAATACATGTAGAAGCCATAGAGTGGAAATCATTTTGATGTTTCAGATAGTAAAGGATGACTGTTTTGTATTATAAAATACACCTGGGGGCATAGTTCTCACCAATCCCTAGTGAGCTTTTAGGTTCATCTTGGACAAAGGTGAAAAAAGGCACAACACAGTTCAGAACATAGATTTGTTGTCTAATAATGGTTCTGTATATTAAAAAATTCTCAAACTCTCTTATCTCTTTGGGGCTGGGAACCAATATAAACTTACTTTTAAATATTCCTTAGAGATGAAAGTGCCCCAAGGCAACACAAAACAGGTCGATGACACATTTTCAAAAATAATGAGCCAATACAAGAAAATAAAAACATCTTGAGCCATTATGGTAAGGCAACAAAAGGAATCTTTCTGTGTTCTAATTCCAGTTGAAAAAGCACTTTCTTATTTAGGTCCCTAAAGGAAGTGGACTGGAAAGTCATCTCAGAGCATCAATCCATTCACTTTCTAAGCTTCTCTTATATGAAATTTGATGATAATTTTTTCTGTACTCAAAATTTCCTGGTCAAATTCATATTTTTGGTGAAATAATGATCAGAATTTTTTCTACCAGTCACAATATCTATGTCAGCTTCTCAGATGGGAACTATTATTCATGGCAGGCATTTACTTAGTTGGAGAAAAAGGGGGTGTTATGCCTTAGAAACAGGATTTTAAGCTTTCGTATCAAGAAGAGTGAAGAAAAGTCATTCTCTTCACAGAATAAAATTAAGTCTTACAGGAAGGATTGCTTGCATCCTCTTGAGTTATGGTGACCTTATCTGTAGTCACACTGTTTTTGCCCTGTGTCATTGGGTCTAGCTCTGCTTAGTAGACCTGTTCTTTTGGCATT